CCTCTTACTGTGGTAAGTACAACTCCCTTGTATCCTACCACATATCCTCCAACCTATCACATTTTTAACATCAACTTATTAAATCTGGATATTATAGTATCTAACTATTTATTTGCTTTGCATTTATACATATATTTCATGAACACGTATACTGTTATTCAATTTGATTTCAGTTTTAAATATCATGTACCTCTTTGTTATAGTACCATGGTCTCCAAGCAGCTTCTACTGGAAGCTTCAACTTATTTACAGAGTACCTTGAGGATGTTACTGGGACCCGTCCATCTGTGTCACCACTGCCGATTCATTATAAATCAAATGTAAGTTTATTTTTGTGTATGTTTAATAAATAACTGATTGTGTGTTAGACTCGATTGAGTTACCTGTATATCCAGACACTAATTCCATTTTCAATAAGTCGAGTGATGGTAGGCAAAATGGTTGTTGGGCTGTCTTTCATTCCAATACCACTGCACATAAAAACACAAGTCGGATACAAGAAATAACATGAGACTTTCATTGATTTTTGTTTATTATGGAATAATGGTATCCTAGTTTTAGAGAAAGGGAAGAAAAGGTACGCGCAAAATCCCCATGAGGTATTTTGGACATGAAGAGCTTCTTGCACGTCTGCTCGATTCAGATATGATAAGACATAATCATCAGAGCAAGGATCAAAGGTCGTGACCTAGTTCAACACATCATATGTAGTTCAATTAGATTTAATACTTGGTTTTATGGTTGAATAATTATAGGCTAAATGAAAGAAATAGCAACTTACCTTTGTTAATTTGTTAATTGTAGCATGCTACTTTCATTTCAACCTATCACGGCATATTATAATTTGGAAAATCTTTCCAATTATAGTGATGCCATCTAAATAAAAATCAATTTACAATGCTATAATTGGGTAGATTTTCCAAATTACAATGTCATAATCATAAATAACTTGAAAGTAGAATGCTATAAATAGATAAATCGTTCAAAGTACAATGCTTTAATAAGAAAAAAATTGTAGTGTGAACGATAGTAATATGCTACAATAAAACAAGTAAGCAAAGTATGTTGCTATTTCTTGTACTATCCCTTAATCGAAAGAGTTCAGTAGGATATGTTTTATCTAACTTTTGATAATTTATAAGAAATTTTGAAATTTGTATGTGATATATTTTATTATTATAGAATCAAAGACTTACAGATCCGTTGGTTCCAGATTTTTGTGTAATATCATGATGACAAAGTGGTGCATAAATGTTGTAAATATCAATTCCACCATATTCACCGTCTCCTTGGCCTTGATACATGTAGCACTCCTGAGAGAAGTTCCCAGTAACATAGTCACAATACTTCTTGATACCTTCATTTGTCTCATCAGAGTTTAGGGCATGGGTCCAATAGTAGTCATACATCCCTTCATAAGATGTATTGTCATCAATCCAAGCATTCCCAATCTGCACAATCACAACACACACATTTAGCTTATTGTCCTGTCCTGTCATGTCCTGTCTTGTTAGTACGATAATTACTTACCGCAATTCCACGAAGATTAATGACTGTTCCGTTAGTTTTCTTGTTTTCCGAGAGAATGAGGGAAGCAAGCTGAGGTACGTAGTGACCTGCGTAGCTTTCACCCGTAATAAAGAAATCTCGGGTTTTGTATTCGGGGAATCTTTCAAGCCAATTGATGAGAAAAGTGTACGAGTCTTTAGCTGTTTGCTTGTCCCCTGTCACGTACGATGTGTTTGAATACGAGAAACCCACTCCAGCAGGCGATTCCAAGAATAGCACATTAGCCACTGTCAAAATTTTCTGTATTTAGACTTTCACGTTGTAATCACGGAAATTTTTTGACATGTACTCGCTTTGTATGTGAAAAAGACATGAATGCCCTCATCATTTTTTGTTACCATTGTTCCATGCATAATCATTGCGGTAGAGTGTTTTCCCATCACTGTTGACTCGGAAGGGTCCAAGTTCTTCCATGGCTCCGTATCCAAACGACGAGCATCCTGGCCCTGTATAATACCTTCATTACTAGTTTTCTAGTATTTTAAGTCGGTTTTTGTGTGAAAACAACGCATTATTGTATTGTTTTGTTTTTTCACATAGACTTGAATTATAATAGAAGCATTATACCTCCATTGAGCCATAGGACAAGAGGGTTGTTTGAAGAATTGTGAGGTGATTCAGCAAAGTAATAAAACAACGCCTTTCCCACCTTTGAATCGACTGTTACATAGCCTGAATAATGATCAAAATCGACTTGTGGTTGACCTGGCAACTTGTCAATCATATCTTCTTCCTTTGACCCTTGTTGAGGGACAATAGAAAGTGGAGATAAGTTTGATGTGTCTTCTTCTGTCCATGGCTGGACACGTGGCGGATTCTCTGATCTTCTCGACTCCATTAATTTGTTGAGGCTGGTGATCTGGTCATCCTTTCTTGCCACACAGAAACCCAGAAAATAAAGTGAAAAAACAAACAACAAATAATAAGAAATGTGGTTCATTTTAATTATTGACATAGAAGAAACTTTATCAGTCGTATATGTTATTATGTGTCGTGTGTCTCTTTATATATTGTGAGAGAAGAAGCATGGTTGAAGAATTCTTTGCACCTGGTTGTGTGCTGTTGTAAGTTGTAACGTCATTTCCTATGCTCATTTGTCTTGCTCTTTGGAACTTCTTATTAAATTTAACTATGAGTAAGAATCATAAGTGAAGAACAAACGGTAGTTGGTTGTAAACTCCCCATTGAACCAATTCATGAAAAATAAAAGTTGGATTTTTAAGGACAATGTTAAAAATCCATTATGTTATTTACTTATTTGTGTGTCTATTAAAATCATTATATTTTCTGAATTTGGTTAAATTAGTGATTCGCAACCGGATAAGCCACGAATATGTTTGTTTCAGCATTTATTTATAATATATCTTTATGAATAGAGACGTCTTTTTTCCTCTACTTTATTTTTGTAAATCTTCAAAAACATAATTGATTTTTTTTTTGTTTGCTTTCTTGAGTCAGAGACAACACATGGTTCTATCTTCAGGGCACCTTTTATTTTAACCTGCTTGCCTTATATATGTTTCAAGTTTTATCTGTTTACATCATTGATACATTTCTGTCATCTTTCAGAGCGAAATAATGTGCTATTTAATCATCAACGCTATTTTATTTTTATTTCTAGTTTACAATTCGAAGTACTTTCTTCCTGAGAGAAAATCACTAAGTGATGGAGTACATCACAAGAACAATTTTCAGTTTTTCACCCTCTACAAATGTAGCAATACCATGAGAAGTAAAAAAGAAAAAAAAAAATGATAATTTCAACTTTTGTTCGTCCAAATCATGCTGTAAATAATCCTTTTATCATTTGTGAAAGATGGAGGAATTAAGTTTTCCTTGAAGGAATTATGAGACCATTAGCAATGCTAATGCGTAATTGGGCCTAATACAGTCATAGTGTGAGTACAACTCCTTTATAGCCTACAACATATCATTCAACTTTCAACCTATCAGTTTTTAACATCAACTTATTAGATTTGGATACTTATTAGATTTGGATATTATCTTTCCTGTGTTGTTAAATATATTAGACATTTCTTGAATTTTAATTTGTTGTATTATTAAACATATTAGATACTAGGTTAGAAACCGTGGAAACCATGAGATAAAAAAGAAAATTAATATTGATGATTAAAAATAATATTGAAAAATCAAATATTTATAATAATTTATTAAATATATATTACATAAAATGTTATTTCATAAATAATAATGTATAAATGTATATTAAACTTATAGCAAATAATTAATTAAAACCCTTATATATTGTATATTTAATTTTTAAATATGAATGCAACACTTTCATACGTATCAATTAAAATATATAATTTAATAGAATATGTTGCATAAAGGAAATATTTACATAAGGTATAGTACCTCTATCACATGAATTGGAAAACCATTAGTGTTATTACAATACATTGTTGTGAAAATTTTACATTAATTGTAAATTTTTATCTAAATTTATGTGAAAAAATGTTTCATAGTGACCATTTATGACAATTAAGATATTAAAACACGAACTATATATGTAAATTATGTAAATCATTTTATCAATAAAAATGGTTTGTTTTTCAATGATTGAATCGTTATATTCGTTTTTAAGGTTACAATAGAAAAAGTATCTATACAATGCAAAAAACTAACAAAATGCTCCATTACTGCGAGATGAAATTCACACCAAATTATTGTATATTTTCTTTTGATTTCAGCATTGGTCTGAGTACTGGGTTTTTTCAATATAGTTTTATCAAAAAAAAAATGTTTCCTATTATTACACATCATGCTTTTGATTGAAAACACCATCATTTCCTTTCAGATAACATTTCTTGAAATGCAATGGAGTTTCACTTTGTTCCAAACTCCACCATCATAATTTTATTATGAAATTTTAGGAACATGATGACTATAGCTACTAGGAAAGTATGTTGTAATGCTCTTTTTAACATACATTAGGAAGTTAATTTTACTACCAAAAGCTAAATGAGCCTACATCATTTAATCAATAGAAGTGTAGATAGAACAAAGAGAATAACAGCAAAAAATAACAAAAAAAACAAAAAAAAGTTAAAAACATTTGTTTATGAACCCATTTTGCGTTGTTAAGCATCAAGACTTACTAAGGCATAACAGAGCCCATGAAAAGTTGCAGAAGGAATACATAATCAACTTACATCAAATCATTAGCTAGTAAAAAGTACAACTTGTTTTGCATATCATCATAAGAAAAGAGTCAACAAATCAAATGATTGCTTCTTTCTTGGCATTCCTTCCACTAATTCTTCTTACAAGAAGAAAATTTAGATTATGTTCTACTATCGGGAAAAAAATGTCAAATAATATTAACTAACGTCATAATAAGGTTGATTTAATAGAGGGTGATTTTAATAGAGGGTGAGAGCGTAGATAGAGGAAGGGTGGTGACGGTAGGTATGATGAATCCTAGCAGACCAGTGTGTAGCGGAGATACAACTATCATTAGGTCCAATGACAAGATCCAAACACCCTTGAAGCATGAGAATTTTGAGGGTTGGAAGGAGGAAAGCGACGGTGTGTGGTAAGAAGGAAAGTGGAGTGAAAGAATGGGAAAGAAGAAGTAGTCATACCTTAAATTGAGGGCTGCAAATCTTGATATATGAATCGATAAAAGGAAATGGACCGATATTTAGGGTATGCGGGTGAAATTGGGGCAAAACAATCAGGTGTATTTTGAATTCCCAATCTTTAGGAATCACAAAATTGAAGAAACTGAGAAAAAATCGTGGGAAGAAGTTGAAAGAAAAGGACAATACGGTGAAATAAAACAGGGGCAAAATTTGCATTTTACTTTGTATGAAATGAGTGCTTTTAAATGGACACGTGCCAGAGTGGTTTTGTTTATTAGATAGGGAGATTTCTTGAATTTTAAGAGATACCACTCTTATTACATCCTATACAATATTGTTAAGCTTATTATCTGACATGTATAACATATTTACGACTTAAAATAATTGAAACACGCTTATGACGTTTCAAAGCCCTATCTATCTCTCTGAAACCCTAAATCTTTGATCTCCTCCACTGCGGCAACAAAGCACAACAACTCACCACCATCATACTCAACACCATCAGCATAGGAAACTCACCATCTATCTCTATCGATCTTGAAACCCTAAACACTACTAACATCCCACCATTGCACAATCCTCATTACCGATGCACCACTACACAACGCCACACATGATCTTCGACCTTCAGTCACCTCCATCGCCAATTTTTTGATCATGGATCTGGATTTTATGCATCTGATTAATGGGCACAAAGCTCAAACGTGAAAAACTATGAACCCATTTCCTCCATCAGCTACCGCTCTCGAAGTCTTCCATCCACCAAATCTAGTATAGAAAAAAATGATTCTCAACTCTCTACCCTCCGTTCACATCTTATTTCCTAACCCAAACTTTTTGTTTCCGTTCTTCAAATTACGGGCCAAATTTGTATAACTGTTGATTTTGTGTTTATTGGTTACTTTTGGGAGATTTCTAGGGGAATTTTGGAAGTAAAAGAAGCAGATGGTAAAAAGACGCTCACATATAGGCATCTTTTTACGATTTCCAGGAAAAACAACTCAGGTTATCTCTTTTACTACTCTTTTCTAACTCAAATATTGTGCTTTTTTACTCAAAATCTCAGGATCTGAATATGTTATGCGTTTAATGAAGGTTTTGTTTTGGGTTATGTAACTTGAATCCATGACAACAACCTCCATGAATGGTTTTATGATCACAGAAATGAAGATGGAAGGGATGTCATAAGGTCAAGGGTTCATTGGAAGCTTAGAATCGCTTCACATTTGGTACATTATGTTGAATATGTACACCCTTTTTCCTGTTTTTTTTTGGCTTTTTAATAAAACTGTGTTTGTTTCCCTTTCTCTTTCTATGGAACCCTATCTCTTCATTTTCTTATGTATCAAGTCTTTTATAAATCTTTTCAATTATTTGTTTTTATAGTGGGATTTGTATTGTGGATTATATTTCTTAGAGAATCCATCTCTCATTAAACAAATTGTGACAGTGAAGGATAATGTGAAACTGTTTCTTCTTTTAGTGATTGTATTTTATAGCATTTGTGGACTATTTTGATTGTTTATCTTGATGTGGCCACCAAGAGATTGTTGCATTTGAAAATAGATTTCATTATCTCATTCTTAATAACTTGTATACTATTTTGATTGTTTATCCTTTTCATTTTATGCCACATTGTTCACAGAATTAGAAATCACACAAGTCACCACAACATTAGCACCCAAGTTTTTCCTAATTATAGTATGCAGGTTTGATATTGTGGATTATTTATCCTAATTTTTTATGATCTAGACATTAATTACCTGTGAGTTTATGATATTTTATAGATTTTTGCACCAAAAAGCGAGTTTTTTATTTGAGGTTGTTTTTCTTGAAAATATTATATTCTAACGTTTTTTTTTTTAATATAATTTCAGTGATAATGTGGTTATGGATGGAAATATTGTTAGATTGGGATTATGGGATATTGCTGGTATCTTTTTAGAATCCAATCTTTGATGAGTTCATTTTACAGAATCTTGTAGGTATTTGTATAGATTTTAAATAAACTATTTGTCATTTTTTGGAATTAAAAGGGAAGAAGAGTATATCAGATTAAAGCCACTGAGATATAGAGGTGTCATACCTTTCTCTTTAATCAGTAGGGCTAGGGCAAGTTATACATTTTTTCTAAAGCATTTTTTTAAAGTTTCAATTTGATGTTTTCTATGAAAGAAAAATGTCATTTTGGGCATTCGATTTCGCCAAAGCGAAGCCAATTTCAAAGTGAATGGTTATATGCATTTATGTTTTAATCACTGTAATTATATATATATATATATATATATATATATTATTATATATATATATATATATATATATATATATATATATATATATATATATATATATATATATATATATATTTCTTTTAATATTGGAGACAAAAGGTAAAGGAGCTTCAAGATTATTTTAAGCAGAAAATGAAAGGTACGATTATATGATCCCGGTATATGTATGCTTTACAACCTTGCATAGAATGCTAGATCCTAACTCGTAAGTTTTTGTTTATTCAGTTATAAGAAAAATCTCAACCTAACACCCTCTCCTCTAAAAGATTTCACTCCACCTAATATTCAATGTTAATAGTAGGACTCTACTTTCAATTATTTGTTCATTATAGCCAATGAAATTGGCTTCTTCTTATTAAGATGTACATTGAAAAATCTAGCCATTTATAGTTGTGTGTTGGTGATGCATCAGAAGACGATAATCATAAGGTAGAGAGTGATGCCAAAAGAAGGAAATATATCTTATGGAAGAAAAAGTTGAAGCCCCAATGGAACATTGTTCTATTTTCAATTGCAAAGTAAATTTTATTATTTCAGTTTTAATGATTTGTTTCTTAATAATTTTAATATAGTATTCTGATATTTTCTTATTTTTATCTAGGCTTAAAGGATAGAAATGAATATATGTAATTATTTCTGTATAAAGCCAAGTCCTCTCAGATCATTGTTTTATTTTAGCTAAAATCAATAGATTAGTAAAGTTCCTTGAAAAATCAAAGCATTTGCAAATTTAAACAAGTTAATTTCAAATTCAATTTTGATATGGATTTTAGAAATGTAGAAGAAAATTATCATAAATACGTGTAAATAGGTAACAAGTTTTATGATTAATGAAGTTTTTCTATAATATCTCTCTTAAATGTTTTTGAAAAAGTTATATTGAATAAAATGATGTTTGATCTTAAAAGTCAAAACATATGCTCTTATCCCACAAAGGATATCTTTCTAATTTTAATTTTGGTATTCTTACTGCTATTTAAATTTTGGTTATGCTGCATCTTAGTTGGAAATCAACTTGACCTTTTGTTGTGACAGATAAGATAAGAGTGGTAATGTACCATAAATGAATTCCTTCTGATTTAACTCTTAAATGTAAAATAGATTACTTACAAGAAAATTTTCAATTCTTGTTCGGTTTCAATATTTTAACTGGTTCTTGATAGACCGAATCAGTCTTATATTCAGGATTGAATATGGACAATTTGAGAAACCGCTAACCGAACCTTTAAAGTAAATTCCGGTTATCGAGATACTTCTACTCATCCCTAGATAGAACACCCACTAAATTAATGTGACTTTTTTTTTTTCCATTTCCAAATTGATATTTGAAATATAAGTATTATTCACAATTTTTCGTGCATTTATTATCTCCTATTTGCTAAATTGGTATGTCAAATTGTTTTTTGCTATTTGTCTAATTGATTACTGCTATTTGCCGGAAGGCCCAAAATACATGCTCAGATAGTGTTAAATAAGTAGTTTTAAAAAACGTATATGTTTTATTTTGTACTTTTAATTATTGTTATCCATAAACTTTTTATTTGTCATTTGTTTTTGTGTTTCTTATTCATATTATATTTTTTTTTATCACGAGTTATGGTATTTAGAATATTTAAATTTTCTAGATAATTACTATTAGATTCCTTAACGAAATTCCGACAAGTATATTAAAGTTTGATTACATCAACTATCTTCGTCAAGAATACTAAGGTTTGATTGAAGCAAAAATATCCATATTAGATAATCACGATGCAAGACGAAAGCAAAAGCAGGTTTATTTTTCTTTTTTTTTTTTTAACAGTAGGAAAAAAAAAAAAACCCTTAACAAGAAACTAGAGATCAAACAAAAACTTTTACAAATTGTTTAAAGAGAACTGCAACGAACAATTCAAAGGAAAACAAGTTTTCTAAATCTATAGCTAATCCAGAAAAAGGAAAAACAAGTTTTCTAAATCTACCACCATATATCATTCCGCAACCTCCATAGAATCAAAACCGTCGTGCAACACACCGAATCAATAGCTCTCTTCTTGGTTTTGGTCTCGTGTAAGGTATCCACATGCTCAAAAAGTTGTTTAATAGACAATGTTTGATTGGAATAATTCATACATGATATGTTCTCGATATATGACATGTTTTGAAAAACATCCATCGAAATGTCACTAACAACCGAAAAGCGATTGCTCGTCAAAAGGAAACTATTTGTCATCCACTGCATTGCACGGGCAACCTTGTAGTAATCTTTTATGTACTTTTTGCCAACACCGATGTTGTTAGGGTGTCACCTCTTTCTTATAGTACTCTGGTCGCCAAGCAGTCACTACTTGAAGCTTTAGCTTATTTACAAAGTACTTTGATGATGCTATAACTAGGACCCGTGCATCCATGTCATCACTACCAATTCATTATAAATAATATGTAACTTTTGTGTGACATGCTAACTTGTGCCTTGTTTCTTTTTTTTTCTCCTTGAGAAATGTTGTCTGCATAAATAATGGTGTAAAATATGACCGTGAGATAGATTTGTAAAAAGCTATTGCATCCAAGATTTAGTTAAAGTGTAGGCTAGTTCAACTTACTTATATATCCAGACAGCAATACCATTTTCAATTAGATGAGTGAGAGTAGGAAACTTCACCAAAACTTCAACGGATACTTCACATAAACGTTTCTGCCTACCGGATACTTCATCGAAACGTTTCCATGTCGTATCCGTTTCCCGGGAGTTTCGGATACAGGAACAACACCCTAACAAGAGTTTCAATGCATCATAGTTGTTCACTATAGCGTCCCAATTTCATTTCTTCATATACAAGATTGTACTTATAAAAAATTTATCTACTTATAGCACTATCATTCAAATGCAAAGCTATTTCCATTACTATAATTGGGTAGATTTTCCAAAGTACAATGTCATTTTAAAAAAGAATAGAAATTACAATGCAAAAATTTGGTAGAATACTCAAAACACAATGCACTAATAAGAAAAAAACATGAAAGTACAATGTTATGATTAACAAAAATGAGAATAGTAGCTTAAATAAAGAAATAAATAAGTAACTACTATTTCTTTCATTTAGCACTAAACTAAATGAGTAGGATACTTTCCATCCATTTTTTATAAATTGTATAAGTATTTTTTGAATGTTGCATGCTATATATTCTATATTTTATGAAAAAAAATACTTACATAACCTTATTCTTACATAACCACCAGAGCAAGTTTTTTAGGAGTGTTGTCACATAGTGGTGCATAGACATTGTATAAATCAATTGTACCCACCAATGTGGGAAAAACCTACTTGGTTGAAGCTTTGAATCTCCGATTGGAGGTCTCGAGTTCTAATCTAGGCGTTGATAATTTGATGATACTAACTTATAACCATTAATCCCGCCGTTCAAAAAAAAATCACCCATTTCATATCCTTTTTTGTGTAACCTCCCAAAAAATACAAGGTAAAATTTTCATTTTTAAAATAGTTAAAACATTCATTCCATTTCATAAAGGATCATCGTAGTATCAAAAGAAGTTCCAAAATAATTATCATAATGTCATAAAACAAAATGTGAAATCTTCAGTGGATACAATGCAATAAAGTCGAACGCTTCCCTTTGCTACTCGAAGTACCTGAAATATTTTAACTTGAAAACATAAGCTCAAAGGTTAGCGAGTTCCCCAAAATACCACATATCATACATGTCATTATTATAAGTATATGTTATGGTCCTCCCATCCTCTTAGAGTCACTTCTACTGCTGTAGTCCTTCTGTAATGTTACTTGCAATGGTCTTCTCATTATCTTTCATATGGCTTCCATGGTCTTCCCATGGTATTTCATACAATTGTCATGGTCATCCTATGGTCTTATATACAATTGTCATGGTCCTCCCATGGTCTTTCATGAAAAAGTCACAAAGATTATCTAACATTCTACATTATATAATGAGAAGACTCACCTCGATAATTAGGGTAGGCTACATCACAGCTTGCGATGACAAAAAGCTTATACTACACATCACGTAATGAATTATAGGAGGTTAAGCCTCAATATACCAACTAAAAGTAGCATTTTGACTAAAAGTCAACCATAGTAAAAAAGTCAACAATCAATAGTCAACCACCACGTTGTGGTAACCACTATCCGCGCCGTGGCAGCCAAATGAAAAAAAATAGTCGCAGAAAACCCTCGACCACGCCCTGGTGAACAACAAGCTACACCGTGGTTACGTCCAAACAAAGTAAACACGTACTAGTGCGCTACCATGCTGTAGGCGCTCCTTGGTCGCGCCTTGATTTCTGGTCACAAGTTCATTTCCTTCTTAAGAGCTTAATCCCTTAAGACATTCCTTCAAACTTTCCAGAAGGCTTCTTTGCATCACAAAAGGACCATAAAAATCATAACTTTATGGACATACTTGTCTAATGCATGTCCTCCTGCAAACATAGATCAAAAGGGGTAAAAATAGGGTCAAGACCCCATGCATTGCATCTAACAAGTGAACCATTTCAGATTTAGAACATATACAGCTGTTAGGACCTCAAGGAATGGTAAAGTTGCCAACTTTATCAAAGCTAAGGCCAAGATACACGAAATGGACCAGCTTTATGTTGAACACCAGGGTAGACCTCTAAGAACCTAGATTTTTGAAGTATTAGTCATGCAAAATGTTATCTTTCATGTATTCTTGAATGTGTAGAAGTAATGAAATTATGTTGTTGTGGTTGGATAAAGGATTGGACATGATATATATAATTTAGGGTTGATTACTGCCTCACCACAGTACGGTGATTGGTGTGCCGCGACGTGGTCGTTGAGGCGGT